TTTGTGGTTGTTTTAGCTATATCAACAAAGCGTGACAATCGTCATTTACTACAAGGGGAAATCTATTGCTCAATGCGTTGTATCGAAAGTACTAAGGTGTCTTTTAACTACGGCCCAAAAGTAAGGCGGCATAGCTCAGTGTGCTAAAGGTATAATGTTCGATGAACTTAAGTTCCTTGAATGCCTTGATGTGGGAATGTTGATAATTTTTGTTCATTTCATTCAAATGTCCCGAACTTTCTAACTTTTACCCACTTTTATGGAATTTCCTTTTTAGGACAGAAGCAACTGACATTGTAGGACAGAAAGCACTTGACAGATTTATGACACTTATTTGAATGAATTTTCTTGTGATGTAATATGTGCCAAATTAAAGTATAATAAAGAAATTAAAATAAAAAAAAAAAAAATAAAAAAAGAAAAAAGTAACATTATTAAAAAACAATGAAAAACATTAAATTGTATCAAAAGTGTTTAAAGTAATCAACAAAAATACAAGATGTCAACGTAAGACTCGAACCAATAACAAGCCTGGAAAGATATTCTCGACTCGCTTATCCTTACCAATTGCTATATAGACGCCTGTAAAGATACCGATTTATGTAGTAATATGTTTTAGGATGGCTACCAATTAAACACCTTAGAATTTTAATATCTCAACGTTTTATAGCTGTTTAGAGTAAAAAAAACTGTAAAATAGTTAACCATTTGGTGGTAACCTGGAATAATATTGACCATAGATCATTTCCACACCAATATTGAAAGCACCCAGAACATCTATTTATATGATACTTGGTGTGATTTCTTCAAGATTGTAATAAAACATTTTAATATTTATAATAATAAAAACGACAATGAAATTTTTTGAAGAGGTTTCTATTTTATATATACTAAATGAAAAGATATAGATGTAGTGCATTGTATTGTTTATATTTTGTTAAATAAGATATAGTGAAAGTATAGGGACAATAATTTCATGTAGAAATGCATAATGCGACATCGGTGGTCTATTTCTCTACAGAAAATGAACGAGACCGTAACATCCATTCTCTTTCCGACTCTCTGAAAATATTTATGCATCCCTTACAATATCCCTTTTTTAAAGCTTAAAACGTTATATAATCAGACATCAACTAAAACAAAAAAATAATGAATATATTTGTATTAATTTGAGATTTAGCAGACGTTCAAAACATTAACACAATCTGAAATGTTTCGTATCATATACCTAGTGAGCTTTACAATAACATTCACGTTTTGTAAATACATTATAATATCCATTTAATAAAAATATGTCAGATGTATCATTTTAAACTTTTGTAAACTTAATTAAATTTGTTTTAATATTTTTTTTTACTAATAATTCTCTTTCATTGATACAAGTGACACCATTTTATATGAAGCACTAAAACACCACGATATTTTGATTAAAGTTTCTTCTCTATAAACAGTTCCAATAAAAAGACAACACATTCATTCATCAAAGATCGGAAAATACAAACTAACGAACCCTTTGTTGCATAGTAACCTTGACTTACAATATGGCTGACAAAACAACATGTACATGTATATGCTAATAGGAACATCATGCTTGACTTGTCCTTAATTACATCTAACGTCATCTAATTTGTCTCAACATATACATATTGTAAAACGAATTTATATAATGATGAATGTGGTTGTTCTATGTTTATATTATCCCGAACAAGTGTAAAGTACATTTTGGCTTAAAGTGTAACAGTATATGCACCTACATGCGCCTTTGTATTGATATATCGAACTAACAAAAGCCATAAGCAACAGAAGAAAAGTACTATATTACTGTTTATTGCAAGATTACCATGATAAGACATTTTCTATGTAACTATATTGATGTTCTATGTAAATGTACAAGTTGAATAAATGTGTGTTTTCTTCTCTTTTTAACACCATATAATTCAGTAAGCGTACTTTTATAAGAAATGAACGAGCATTACTCTGAATATGTTCAATAATAGATACAATACCATATATTTATACATTTACAACTTATATCTTACATTTATCATTAAGACAGCCATATGATGTATAAACATTTACTTTAATACAATAGATGTCACAGAAAAAAGTTCTATCATTGTCACGTTTAATTACACTAATTCAATTTGCGACAAAAGACAACAAAAACAGTTGTAGCCTATGAATAAATTAATTTGTGCAAAAAGTAAATGTTGTAAATAATACACAATCCGGATTTTCAGATTTTAATATTTGAATGCTTCGTATTCATTTTTACTTTTCATAATTTTTCCTTAAATGTGTACGTTCTGTTACATTATGCTTACCTTTACAATATGAATAAGATAACATTACTACATGTAAATTTTTGAAAATCTTAATCGCTAAAGCATGTTTATTTTGTACATTAAACCTCCAAAACGTCATCGTTTACATGGGTATGACGTTAACGATAATTGATCAATTAATGTTATAAGGAAAACAATTAACGCTAGTTATCCTCGCGTTATTTCAGCACGTTTATGAGAACACTAAAACGTCGACGTACGATTGGTTGACAACGTATGATGTCATACCACAGCTGATTGCGGTTTTCTTGATTGACCTTTTAAGACAACGTTCACGTCGATCTATATAAAAAGACGGAGAGACCACTGCAACTTCAGATATCAAGGATTTGTTCAGTGGAGTAAGTCGGAGAAAGAAGTAGGAACTTTGAAGCCAGAAAATTGTATATATTATACAACAAATATACAAAAAAAAAACTGAAAAAAAGCAAAAACTTAAACCAAGAAAAAGAACTTAAGAAACAAAAACAGAGAAAATAAGGTAAGTGTTAGAAAAATAAAGTCACTTCTTTAAAACCAACGCGATTCAAAAAGTTGTAATGTCTACATAAATAATTATTAAATACAGTTGTTCATAAAATTTTTTACTTACATGTAATATCACTATAACTTATTTAAACAACCTTTGAAAATTTGTGTTTACTATAAGCAGTTTCCTGATTTTTTCGCTATTAACAGTATCAGGATGGTTATTTAAAATATAAATTGAAACGGAACAAGATTTGCGATTTTTAACAATAATTTTATCTAAGTATATCATTACATAAATAATAAATTATGTGTTTTTTTCTTCAGATTTGAAGAAAAATTAACAAGATGAACCTCTTTCTTCAAAACACTCGCATGTTTCGTTTTCGTGTCAGCAGTATTTGGACAAGGTAAGACCACTTTTATCAACTTACCTTAAGATAATTTATTTAACCGCATTCCAACGATTGTTTCATTATCAAAACCAACAAAAAGCACACTGTCTTTGTCTTATAGTATTAAAACAAACAGTTCTAAGTAAAGAAATAGTATCATGCCTGCTATTTTAAAACAATCAGTTCTTTATCACATAAATGGTTATCCTCCTACTTTGAAAAATAATAATAAAAAAGTAAGCAAGTTGTTATCAGATACTGGCTGTAAACATTTAGACAAAATTTTACTACACTATCATCATTAGATAATGTATGCATACAACAATTTTGATGATAAGTCTTGGAACTTTTTGCGCTTAATTTATTTTTTCATAGGTAAACATTCCTTGCAACACTAACATGTCTCCGATATGAAAAATTGGAAAGATCAATGGGCAACAGTAAGCTGTTAGATATGACTGTTTGTAAAACAAACATTTAGAAAAATTACCATTTTGAGGTCAACATGCTATATCAAACATTTATATTTTAGGTTATCAAGGACGCCAACGCAAACCAAACGTTATCCCAAAGAAACCTTTACATACAGGAGAATTTGATCCATTTGCTAGTAGATTTGACAATGGTCTTGACAGCCTAAGAAGAGGGGGTATGTTCGGCATGCCAGAAGACATTCAAAGAATACTTGGCAGTACAGTAAATGGGGTGTAATGATGGGTGGAATGAATGGATTGCCTCGACATGGTGGTACGTTGAACTCAGATGGTTTGGTCAAAATGGTTGGGGAGCTGACATTTAATTGAACCAGTCATTCCTGCTGTTCAAATGTGGAATGATTCCTTTAAACGGTGCTGCTTTTCCGGAAGATTATAGCGGTCAGGAATTGGTATTTGATAGGAGATTAAACAGATACGTTATTAAGCCTAGTGCTTCAGTTGGACATCAAATTGCAAAGAAGCTTCATGTTGTTCCTACCGGTCATAAAAGCGTGAAAGCTGAACATAACATGGTCAAGCAAAGCAAATCATATAAGATAGAAAAAACATTAGGTGGTTGCCATTTGGCGGTTATAGGAGGTCCCATCGGCGGCATTGGGGCAGGACCATTTTGGACCTACTGTAAACCGACTTGGAACTGTCAATGCTGGAGATATAACCGTTGATGACCCAAGAGTTATTGCCCATAATATTGGAGTTGCTACACTTGGTGCAGATGCTGTGCTGGTCACAACATTGCCAAAAAACTCTGGTACTCCTGTAATTCGTGGATTTATAACCCACACGGCCCTGTGTCTTCTTCAATAGAGCATGATATGGTTAAAACATTTCTGGAGTTGTAGCAAATGATCCTTTCGGAGTTGGAATTGATCCTTTAGGCCAGGTTGCTCATGGGGTAACATGAAAAGTTATCAAATGGAAGACACATTGGAGTTTCAAATTTTGGACCACTTAATAATGGCATTGGAATGCGTCCTTTTGGAGTAATGGGTAAGACAGCAGATCCAGTCCACAATGTAGACAAAGTGGACAATCTGGAATGCAGGTATCGGTCACGACCCACTTGCTGCATCTTTAGGTCATGGAATAGCAAAACAAGCCATAGGTGAAGCCGCTAATGTTATAAACATGGGATCTAGAGGTGGCCTTGCGGCCGGAGACCCGCTTGCTATTGCTGCCACAAACGGTCTTGTAAGGGAGTCTCTCAATGTTATGCCGATAAAACGATTGCTATGGCTTCGTCTGGAGTTGGCGGACATAGAGGTATCGGTGCAGGCATTGAGTATCTTTGGTCAAAAATGCAATGATTCACCCAACACCAGTGAAGAAACCTCCTCCAAAATTCCCGACTGGATATGTAGGCCGAAGAAGGCAATAAAACGTAAGTACTGATATAAACAACTTTACATTTCGTTTAAAAATATCACTTTTGAATACAAAGGAAAATAATGTAAATGCTGAACCAAGGTTAATGTATTGTATAAGTTACTTGGCAACTTCATGAAAGTGCAAGAATGTAGATTTTGTATGATTTAAAGGATGTAATAAAAATGTGCATAACATATTTTGGAAATTTGAATTATAATTTTGAGATCGGGAAATATTTGCACGTTTAATCTCATCAGATCATTGCCATAGTGTCAACAGCGGCCAATATTACAGATTTGTTTTGTCAGATCCAAACCGTTATTACAACTTTTCCATATCTTTCTTACAGAATAAATGGCGCTTCATCCAAGACTTCTGTGCAATATCGTCTGCTGCCTCGAGATGGGAAGCAACTTCTGCGAATCCAACTACAATATAAATATTGTGATATGATATTTCCAATATATGTGTAATAAATTGTAATAAATTTATTAATATAATTAAAATAATATAAAAAACAACAAATATTGTATTTATGATTTGTATTTGCATGTACTTTTATTCTAAGAGTGAATAATACATACATTTCACTTCTGCTTAAATGTCAAACAACATTGTAGCATTACAAACTCTTTACCAAATTTTATTCTTTTAGATTTGTTGCCTTTTGGAACAACTAGAAAACATTTACTCTCCTAAAAATAACTATTCAAAAATTTCATATGAATAAAACAAAAATTTCTTGAACTGCAATTTCAAAGTGTATCATGCTTACATCCTAATTGATCAGTTAACTGAAAGTCTAAACTAATTCTAAAAGTCTGAATCAGCGCAACTTGGTAACGGTATATTTTGCATCAGAGGCGACTTATTAACGGTATAGTCAGCTTGCAAAACGCAAAATAAACATTGACAAACGAGTCTGTCTGCTAGACATAGATGGTGACTTTCACAAAACAAATTATGGCATTGCAGACTATTATTCTTTTCCTTTTTAACATGTTATCGGCAATTGAAAAAAAAATGTATCCAGCGGATTTGAAAAAACTGTCACCTTTTAGAATAGAATGTTGATAGAGGGAAATAAAAACATCCAAAAATCCCATAAGAACGCACATGGCACCCGGCTAAAGCAGTAATTCGACATTTTTTCATGATGATGGGGAATACGGCATGATGAGAAATAAGCTATTGATAAAGTATGTTTCTAAAAATGCTTGCTAAGGTGATATGTGGTAGCTGTAAAAACAATGCTCCGTACTTCACTTAAGTGGGGTTGTACTTTTTCAGGTCCATGGAATCATTGATTCTAAAACTTAATTGTGTAGAAGATAGAATACAGCTTAAGCCAGTTCTAGGGGTCATGAAAGATATTAAACATTCAGTTATCTCTCGGGAGCAAACGACATCAAGCCTAGTGTGCAATATTTACTTTTAAACTTTCGAGGGATCTTCACTTGACAAATTTGTTTTGCTTAATTTTGTGTTCATATTACTAACCATATAACATAAATATTTACAAGGGATTTGTAATCGGGCTATTGTTGTGATAATATGTTCAAAAGAAGCCACAGCGTTATTGAATAAGCACAGTGCTATCTTCTCATAAGAAACATCAAATTGACAAGTCCACTTAAGTCAATAAAACACATTTAAACATATGATAACATGATGTATGACCAGGAAGACAGAGAAAAAAACGTGTAAATAAATTATTTAAAAAAAAAGTTTATTTAGATTATAAAAAGGCAGCTTACATCACACGAAAGAAATCATCAAAGAAATATGTATGTTAAAGAGATAACTGTCATTAGTCTGTCTATTATAAATGAGAAATGGTTTCAAAGCAGAGAACAATCAATAAAAGAACAAATATCCAATTCTGTTTTTATACAAACATCTTACTTCTCTCAAACATGATGACATAACAGAAAATCACTTGTTCCTTAATTAAATGAAAGGATTGTTTATTGTAGGGGATGGCGATGCATCATATCAAGGAATTGTTTGTTTATTATTATTGTAAGTATATCTCTCAGGATTCTTTTCGTTATTCTTTTATACAGATGCCATCGTTTTAATAGATAACGCAATAAATGATATATCTCGTTGTCTTTTATCCCAGGCGAAAAGATGGAATTACTGAAATAATCAATTCGTAAGCAAAGAGAAGAAATGAAGCGCAAGAGTGCCATTAGAACGTACTTCTACTGTCTTGTATCAAGAGTCTTTTAAAAGTTTGAACTTCCCTTATTTTTTACTTATATTTATTTCCTATTTTCTAATTGCGTGTCCTATTATCGATTATCAAAGAGCCGACCTACCCCTGACCTTTAATCCCTGTTATCCCTATGGGGGCAAAGGGCATCCAACAACAGCTCTATCCATCTTTGGGTCGGAACGTTTTTCATTGGCTGCTTTTTTTGCTTTCTGCCCAGGTGATATTTTGCAAGCTTTTTCAACTCAGCCTTTTGTTGTTGAACCCCGTCTCCAGGTGGTTGTTGGTCTGCCTCTTCTTCTTTTACCTTGAGGATTCCAATCCAATGCTTGCCTTGTGATGTTGTGTTGGGGTCGCCTCAGAATGTGTCCTATCCAATGCCATTTACGTTTCTTGATGGTGCTTGAAATAGATGACTATATAAGGCCGAATCACCTTTAAATGACGTGACAAACAGGAAGTATGTCGATTCTATAAATCGGTTTAATCATGACTTCACCTTTATTTGTATTCAATGTCAGTCTTTTTTCCGATTTTGTTTCAGATTAAGCATTTTCCATGTCACTAATTCAAACTCTACGTCCGCATTTATCCGCTTTTGTCAACATGTTTATCAACACATAGATATACTGCATTTACCTATTCCACATGATCCAAGTAAATAAGTTGAAATACAATCAGTAGCAATTATTTTTCAGTGCCTTATCTGAGAGCTTCAAGATTTTTGTTTGTTTAATTGTTTCGTTTGAGACGCAACTAGCATTACAATATTCCACTGAAGAATTTATTTCTGACAATCATGCTTTAGGCCAAGTGATGATTTCACGCAGATTCAGTCGTTGAAATTTGGTTCTTTATCTACTAGCTGTTGCACATTATCTTGAATGTCACGTATATACACGAAACAAAAAAGTAAAGAAATCGTGGGTTCGAGACCGAATCGGGTCACAACCATGTAGCCCCATCACACTAGTATTGATCTCGCAGTTATAAAAAAATTCTGAGCCGTGTCTAGAATCTGACTCCGGATTTTCGTTGGTCCTTGCGCAATTTGTGTAATTTTCTGACAAAACAAGTACTGAGTTAGAAAATTTCTTTATAACATCGGAACCTCTTAGTTCTAGGAAACGGGTTCGAAATTATAAATATAAATTGGAAGAACTTGTTTCATATTCGGAACTAAATTTACATATTTCAACTAATTTAATTCGATAGTGTATTACAATTTACATAATCAGATACAATTTCATTAAATGTTTTCCGTAGTAATGACATCAAACACAAATAAATTGAACGCTTGTTTGTTAACACTATTAACGGAAATCTAAAGATAAACGGTCGTTCAACAAACATTATGTTATCAAATGTACACGATAATAAAAACTAATAGTGTTCAAATAGGAAGCATAAATCCCTGCAGAATATCATATACGTTAGAATAATATGCGAATAGCGCTAATAGACACATTTCGTCGGACAGCAGGTCAAGTCAAAGTCAAATAATTTATTGGCAAAAGCATATGCATGTTCATCGCCAAGTAACATTTTGGCGGTACAATACAAAGTACAGAAAAATAAGATACATACATTATAAATTAAACATTATAAATTATACATATACATATGTTTCAGGGTACATCAATTCAAACAAATTTTTCAAGTGGATTTAATTCTCAGTTGCATTGCTAAATAAACAAATTTTGCTAAGTTAACAATTACATTTTTATTCGTGCATTGCATTATATATATGAATTTATTTAAATAAGGTCATGAGTAATAATATCTAGGTAAACATGTTTTCCTTAAGTCGTTATAATATGGACATACTTATAAGAAATGATATTCAGTTCCAATTTGTTTCATATTGCATTTTGTACTGAGGTTTCTTGGTTTCTTTTAACATTTCTTTGTCTACCCTCTTCAATAGGTATGTTGTGCGAAGAGCACCAAAACCTTGATAGCATTTTACGCTGTTTTAAATTATTAACACAACTTAAATATTACTCTTGGGTAAATTCAATTTTAAACAAATTATAACTTTCTAACTTTGAGAAAGAAAGAAGTTCAGCACACCATTGTTGTAGCTGCTGATCATAAATTCTTTGTATAATAGTATCAACATGCACATTTGAAATATTATCATTATTCCATAGATATGAGAAACCTAAGTCTGACAACATATCTTTTTACATTTTTACCAGATATTTAACAAATTACCATAAGTATCTTTTAAAAATACCAACTTGTTTAAAAGAAAGTTTTGGGATTTCATAATACTGTACATTCAGTACTTAACAATTCTGACTTTTCGCAGAACTAATAATGGAAATCGTCCAAATTCACCTAGAACCGCTGATGTTGTAGTTTGCTGGCGTACACCAAGAACTTGTTTTAAAAATTTCAAATGTACTTTTTAATGTCTGATGCCTTATGAAAACCCCATACCTCAAACGAAAAATCGGCTGATCGAATCTTTTATCCGTGCGCCTTCTCAAATAGGAAGCATAAATCCCTGCATAATATCATATACCCCAGATTGATATGCGAATGGTGCCAATAGACACATTTCGTCGGATACCATAAAGTTTGACTTCAAAATAATAATCGGGTGACCCAATCTATTATCCCTTTATAGAGGAGGAACATGGTGCAAGCAGCTAATATTCTCCCTCCCCTTAAATTGTGAACAAAACCACGTTTTTGAGTATATTTTTCTAGTGTATACTTACTTTTGCATAAGACTGTAGATTTGTTTCCACTTTGTGGACAATCGTTCTCTTTACGTGGCTACTAAGTAATAAGTATTCACGTAATTGACCTGCGTCACAGTCAACGTCATAATGCATATATTACGTCATCATGTGCACGTCACATCATCACATGATCTGAACGTTACAATGTGCGCGCTGTTAACCCCTTATAATACTAAAAGTTATTTTATGGAAATGTTAAATTTTGTTAATAATTATGTAAAATTTACATAACTCACACAACTTTAGTAAATAACATCTACATCTATCTCTATAGAATCACTATAACTGCTAACTGTATTGAAATCATCATCAAATGTTCATATGCCCCATCACATATTTACTCAATTTAGGCTATACATTATTGCATCTATATATATAAAAGCTATAAACCTCTATTTATAGTATTTTTTATATTTTGCAAAAAATAAAAATGTTATAAAAACAACATGTCATGAATTGATAATAAATAAATTGTTTGTTGTCAAGAAGAAAAGCCTGTAAAAGTTAATATTTGTTAGTTTCAAAATTTATAAAAATAAAAAGAATACTTCAATTCATTCAAATTACCAATCGGCTCTAAATTTTTGTTTCATTTTTACAGTCTGAAAAATACACTTCCTTCCACATGCAAAACTGCTCTTGGTGACATTTGGGCATATATAAGTATCCTACTAGCAATAACTGCCTAATGCAATATGGAACTTGAAAAGCAATGACAGTCATCAGCCCGAAGAATAAGTAAACAACTCGGCGTTCGAAAGACAGCCTTTCAACATTTCCATGTTTTCCAAATTCCTAGCCGCTTTTGAATGTTTACACATCTGTCAACTATTGTCTGTAACAATCCTCAAATAAGTTTTCTTTCTTATAAAAAGATGTATGTTTTACAAATCCAAATGATAACCCTCTGAATTAAACACAATTATTTTCCTACCGTGAGATACACAACTTTTAGAAATGGCGGCCACTAATATTACACAAAGCCTTCGCTGTAAGTTACTGAAATAAGGTCGGATGGTGTGACTTTTTCTATAATTGTTTGTTTTTATTTTAAAACAAGCGATCATTCCTGTTTATAATAAAATAAATAATATCAACGATAATAAAGTGACATTATGCTCATATTTTCATAGTGAAGTTTTGCTTAATTGACTTTATATTTCATAAGATTGAATGTCAAAATGGTGTTTGACCAACAGTTGATATTGGAAAATGTTAAGGATAAAATTATAAATCTGCCTAAAATGTAAAAACTGCCCCACTCTTTTTATAAACTAAGCGTTATACGTAAATTCTAACGGACATTTACAGAAATTTCATTCGGATCTGTATGTTATTTATTGTTTATGCGAACTTAATTATTAAATCAAAAGGGATTATGGCAAAATGAAAACATATTTTGATCTTCACCCGTTCACTCACTAAATACCCTTGGATGGGCATAGTGTTTGCGTTGTTTGTCGAACTTATTTTTCAGTTCAAGACTTCTAAATTCGACTAAAATGAGGCTACCAGTCGGGAAAACAGACTTTAATGATTGTGGAAATTTCATTTTTACTCGTTTTAAAGCATAAAATAAAAAAGAAAATTTGTTTGTTTGTTGCGTAAGATGAAATTTTATGCCACACACAAACAAACAAATATCCTCTATTTATCCATTTATTTGCTTAATTTTGTGTGCATATAACTAACCCCTTTAATATGAACAGTTGCCAAGGAAGTGTAATCGGGCTATTGTCATGAAAATACATGTAGTTCAAATGAAACCACAGCGTTATTGAATGAGCACATAGTTTTCTTCTCAAAAGAAACATCAAATGACAAATATAAAACACTTAAATATATGATAACATGATGTATGACCAGAAGACAGAGAAGAAAAGTAAACGTGTTAATAAATTACTTTCGAAAAAAGGTGATTTAGATTATACAAAAGCAGCTTACATCACACGAAAGAAATCATCAAAGAAATATGTATATTAAAGAGATAACTGTCATTAGTCTGTCTATTATAAATGAGAAATGGTTTCAAAGCAGAGAACAATCAATAAAAGAACAAATATCCAATTCTGTTTTTATTCAAACATCTTACTTCTCTCAAACATGCTGACATAACAGAAAATCACTCGTTGCTTAATTAAATGAAAGGATTGTCTATAGTAAGGGATGGCGATGCATCATTTCAAGAATTGTTTGTTTATTATTATTGTAACTATATCTCTCAGGATTCTTTTCGTTATTTTTCATACAGATGCCATCGTTTAAATATATTAGGCAATCAATTATATATTTCATTGTCTTTTATCCAAACAGAAATGATGGATTTACTGAAATTATCAATTCGTATGCAAGGAGAAGTATTAATTTATGTATAAAATGTAAGGTGCTCTTTAAAGCTGTTTTGTTATAGCGTTTTTAAAGTTAAACTCATTCTTAGATATGATTTTTATTTGTACTATATCATTCATATTTCTTAAGTGTGTCCTATATTTTATATAAAGCTGTGAATGCAAGTAGACTCCCCTTTTAATGACGTGACAAACAGAAAGTATGTCGATTCTATAAACCAGTTAATTCATGACTTTACCTTTATTTGTATTCAAGGTCAGTTTTCCGATTTTTATTTCAGATAAAGCATTTCCCATGTCATTTATACAAAACACTATGTTCGCTTTTATCCGCTTTTGTCCACCTGTTTATCAACCCCTAAAACCCGGGTAATGGCATTTTTCCATCTTTTCCAATAAAAGTAAAAAAGTTGAAATACTAACTGAGCAATTATTTTAGTGCTAATAGAGGAAGAGAAACTTTTGGGTTTTTTTTCTACGCAGCGATGAAATTTTTCTGAAAATCGAATAGGTGATTTGATGTTTTACCAGTTTCACCCGTTAAAATTTTTTTTCAGCGTTGCACTTTATCAACTACTGTGCACAAATTACTGGGGTTTTGGCACGTTATCTATAGCTTTGCACATTTCAAATTTTAACGATAACACAAAAACAAAACATGTTTAATGCGTCTTTTCCGTGAAAAAAACATATATTTTTAAAAAGTTGGGGGCCCTTTCTGTTGAATGTGTCAAGGGGTTTTAAATGTTACGAACATGCACAGGCTTAAATGGAGTGCGGGTTTAGTACCCACACCCAGAGCATCCCATTAAATGGCTCTTTTTTGCTGGGTTATTTTTTGTGACAGCAAAAAAGGGAAAACGATGAAATTCATACGATGTCGATTTTTTTATTTTTTCGGGGGTTTCATATTGACAACAGGGGTTTTTTTATGTTGACTAAGATTTAAAGAAAAAACACAAACACCGTCAATTGATTATACTGGGGACACAAATAAATAGCTTCGTATTTGATGCCTTCATTCCAAAAGCTTATAACCCAGGTGAATTGGACCTTTTTCTTTTGAATCTTTTTTTGTATCTATTTTTTTGTAAATAATACCTTTTTTCTTGGGTTGAATTTTATTGAAAAAGTGTTCAGATTAAAACATGAACAAATAATTTTAAAAACAAATTTATTGATGTTTGGGACAAGTTATCTTATCATGAACATTTCTTTATTTAAGTATTCAAAAACGTATAAGGTGCACAAGAAGTGTTTAAACACGAATTCAACACCTAGAACGCCATTTTAAAAATTTTAAAAAGAGGGCAAATTACACACAAAATTAATGAATTTTACGGGGCGGTGATTTGTGTTTAAAGATTCTTTTTCCAACCCAAAAAACGAAATCGTGACACAACCATTACCCCCATCACACCAGTTGGTCTGGAGGTTATAAATTTTTTCATTTTAAACATGAGTCGTTGGCCCTTTTCGATTTTTGTAATTTTCTGACAAAACAAATACGATAAAAAATTTTAAGGACCCCCTTTTATTTTTGGGAAAAACGGTTTCAATTATTGTTTTTATTTTTTCAACCCGGGACAAATTAAAAATTTTTTAACAAAAATTTAATTCGATATGTTTTTCAATTACTAACAGATACAATTTCATTAAATTTTTTCCCAAAAATGACATCAAATACAAAAAATTGAACGCTTTCTTTTAACACTATAAGGAAAATATCTAAAATAAACGGTCTTTCAAAAAATTTTTGTACAAATAACACGAATAAAAAAAAATAGTGTAAAAAAGGAAGCAAAAAACCCCTGCATAAACAATCCCACAGTTTAATATCAAGGGTGTTTATAGACACTTTTCGTCGAAACCTCAAAATAAAATCGGCTAACCCAATCTTTATCCTTTCCTTTTAACAAGGAGGCATGGCAACGAAAATATTTCTTTTCCTTTTTGAATTTGAACAAAACCATGTTTTCGTGTCGCAAAGGTATATTTTTCTAGCGTATACTTTTGCATCAGGCTGTAGACTCGTTTCAACTTTGTGGACAATCGTACTCTTTACGTAGATACGAAGTAATATGTATTCACGTAAGTGACCGGCGACACATACGACGTCAACATGCGTAAATAACGTCATTAAAATACACGTCAACCATCATATGATCGGCACGTTCCATAAGTTATTTTATGGAGTTGTTAAATTTTGTTAAATATGTAAAATTAACAGAACTCATGCAACTTTAGTAAAAAGCCTCTACATTAATCGATATAGACTCACTTTAACTGTTAACTATATTGAAATTATCATCAAATGTTCATATGCACATCATATATTTACTAACTATAGACAAATTTTTAACATCTATATATAACTTTTTAAAAGTATTTTTTTTTTTACCTTTTAAAAAATAAAAAAGTTATAAAAAAAAACATTCATCAAGAAAATAAATGAATTTGTTTTTTTAAAGAAAAAAATGCTGGAAAAGGGGTTTAATGATCGAATTTTTTTGTTCCCCAAATTAACTACAGCATTTAAAGCAGAGCAATTTTTGAAGCCGAAAAAATCATAGAAGAAACACATCGATCCATGGTTTCCCTATATTGATAAAAACCTGTCACCCTGATCGTATCATATTTTAAAATTTCATTAAATTGGGAGAGTATTACGTGTAAAATTAAACAACCATTCGTCCATTATGGTTTTGAGGATTTCAAAAGAAAGGACTTTGCTTTTTGTCGACGAACTCGGGTTTTTTGTAACACGAAAACGTTTATGTTATGTGTATGCTGTTCTGTAGAAAAATCTCAATATAGGTAGCACTGGGAGAGTTATAAATAAATATATATAATTGAAGTAAAAGTACAAGAAAAAAATGAAGATTGTATGTCAGTTTGAACAATTGATGTATAAAATTGGATTTAATATAGTGAAGCTTACATAATAAAAAGATGTAGTGAAAACTTTATATAACCTGTAGCTGTTTCTGATAAAAACAAATCAAAATACAATTATGACTTTAAACAGTAAGTGGTGGGCTGGATTATTTTTGCTCTAACTGCTATGGGTTGTTCGGCATCTGTTAATGATTCGACAAAGGTTATTCATTCCTGGTCTATTCCGAGATCCGTAACGAGCAGACGACACTGGCCGACACCCGACAAAGTTATATCAAAGATGACGCCAAGGAGCTGGACAAACATTAATATATCAAACATGGGTGGAGGCGGGGCTAGTGTAAGTATTTCATTAAATGTGAGCTCAACACGTTCATAATTTCTAGATGTGCTTGTATTATTGTATATATAGATAAAAATGCATCCATCATAAGTTCCTACGTGCAACATTTGATAAATAACTCATCAGCTAGATGCGTCATGAAGTTTGTCGAATTTTTACTAGATATGAATTGACGGAATACCTTAAAAAGTATCAAAGCAGAAACCAAAATAAACGGCAAACAATAAACAATACAAAGAGTATATCCTTTACGTGACTATTATAAAACATATTTTATGGGCACACGATAAACTTAGTTATATTTTAATAAATTAACATACAATGTAACCATATTTTAATTGCATAGTATGTTACAATTGTGTAAAACTCGATTTTTTTTATATTTAACTCTTACTTCTTGCAAATATGTTGAATCAAATGTTCATCGGAAAATATACTCGAAAATATTTAATTAATAAACGTATTTAGATTAGTTTGTGAAATGTTTGGATAAATGCTCATAGCTCTTTTCAGAAACAATAGATGCTTTAATGATATAATGATAAATAATCAATCAATCAATCAATCAATCAATCAATCAATCAATCATTCATTAATTCATTCATTCAATCAATCAATCACAGCGACATTAAACGTCTACGACACCTTGACAATTTATGTATGAGCAACAAAATTGCAATGAAATATATAATTGACTAAGATTAGCAATACATTGTAATATTTTCACGAATATGACAAGTTAGTATTTGAAAGACTTAAATGATACATTGCAATAACTCATTAAAATGACGGCGAACAACAAATTCTGCAGGACTAAAGCAACACATTGCAATAACCGACAAAGAATGACTGTATATTATGATACATGTATTTTAATGGATAAAGCAATACATTGCAATTTCTGATTAAGATTGAGAATATATTGAAATGTTAAAACGACAAAAGCAATATATTGCTTTATTTGATTAAAAGTGACAATTTATCTTTCAATATTTGAAAAATAAAGCAATACTTGAAAATTAAAAGACGGATATTTAAACATTTTAAAGACTTAAACAATCTTTTCAAAAAAGGAAAATTTTTGAAAATAAAATATTAAATTTCCCCATTGCACTATGGACAAAAATAACAACAAAATATTTTTACGACATAAAACCCAAAATTTCAGCAAAATGACTTTAAAAAACAATAATTGGGGAAAATTGAACGACTTAAGGATGTATTACAAGAACTCTAACAATTTTTTATCTATATTCGAAAGACACCATCGCGACTAAAAATACAATAAAAATTTTATTTTTAAATTTTCACGACTTTTCACCGAAAAATTGCAAATCTAAAGAAAAACGAACGACCTACGCAAACAAACGAAACAGTTTAAATGCGTTCATTTCTATACAATAGACAAAAACAGCTTTCTTTGGTTCCCATGATGAAGTTGGGGACTCTATTTTAATTGAATCTTTTTTAAAGTGTGAAAATTTTCATTTTTGGTTTAAATTTTTTTATGAACAATTTGAGATTAACGGAATGAAAAATTTTAAAACAAAGTGACTGAGTGCTCGGAAGACTTATCATGACACTTCTTTAGAAACTAGAAATTTTAAAACTTTTATTAAAGGGACAAAAAAAGGTTTTTTTAACACGTAAAGCAAAGCTCAAAAACATGAAAATGTATTGTGATATTTGAAAAAAATAGCGACACATTGCATTATCTGTACTGTATAAGAATGACAATATCTTGCAATGTTTATACCACTAAAGCAATACTAAGCAGTAACTGACTAAAATTGCCAAACATTTGTAATATTTAAACGACTTAAGCAATATTTAGAATCTACATTGCCAATAAGCGACTAAAATGACAATTTGTAATTATATGTAAACGACTTAACCAATACATTGAAGAAAAATAACTGTCTTAAATGATGGTATATTGCAATATTTGTACAATTAAAGCGATACATTGCAATAACTGACTAAAATGAAAGTAAATTGTAATATTAATACGGATTAAACAATATATTGGACAACTTGATTAAAAATAACGGCATATTAAATATTTGCAGGAATTGACCAATGCATTGAAATAATTAATTAAACTGAATATCAATTTAATATTTGAACGACTTCAGCAATACATTGGAACAATTGACTAAAATGACAATGTATTGTTATATTTAAAAGAATACAGCAATACATTGCAATAACTCACTTAAATGACACGACTCGCTAAGAATGACAATACGTTGTAATATTTTATAGGAATAAGCAATACATTGCAAAAAGTGAGTAAAAAAAGACAATTTATTGTAAAATTTACACGAATAAAGCGAATCATTGCAAGAATTGAGTAAGAATAACGGTATGTTAAAGATGATAATAGCAAAAACTTGTTTATTTCTTTTCATGATTAGTTTAGATGCTTGCTTTTATCACTTGTTTTGTTTTTATATGTTTCTATACTTTGTTTCGTTCATTTGTTTATAATGTTTTGTTTCCATTATTTGTTTTAATACTCGCTTTTATCATTTGTTTTGGTTTTGATATGTTTCAATACTTTGTTTTGATGGTTTGTTTATAATTTTATGTTTTCTTGTTTTGTTTCGATGCTTTTTTTTGTTTCCATGATTTTTTGTTTTGATGATTTCTTATAACGTTTTTTTTGTATTTCTTTCAGAAATCTGGCGTGCATGGGAAGAAACAAAGCGATGGTCTTTTTGTAGACGAAGAATTTCCAGCCACGTTAGAATCTATATTTCAAAAGAAGTGTCTTTTAAAGCCTGTCACGTGGAAAAGACCAGTGGTAAAATTATTTAATAAAAAATAGATAATAATAATATGTTATGTTTATCGGTTTGTTTTTGTAAGCTTATATGGAATGTGTTTCAATTTTTTTCCATTTTTAACACTTTTTACTGGTATATATGATATAAGAAATACTCACAAGTCTATAGCTTTTAGTTTTGATTTTTATATAATTATAGACAACAAACTAACAAGCCACTGTATCATATAAATACTTAATGACCAGTCATAACGTTTCGTTCGGGTCAAGAACTTAACATATAATGTAGAAAGAAAATATACCAAGAACTTGATTAAAGACATTTCGACAACTTTATCTTAAAATAAAATACATTATTAATTGAAATTACTATTAGCAGCGGGCTTGTGGCTCTAAATCGACGGGAAGAAGTTGTTTTGTTGTACAAGATAATATGACGCATGAAGTCATAAAGAACGTATGAAGTGGTAATCCATTTCAAATGTAATGCAAAATGTAATACGAACCAGTACTTTGTACAGTACATACGCATACACTTTACTGTAGTCTGCCTGTGTTCTTTGTCACTCAGAAGCATTTTTTATGCCTTAGAAATTTTATTAATTCTTTAGAAACGTCAAACATAAGGTTAATAATATTTAAATACTGGATAGTAGTGTAGTGTTTTGACTTTCATACACAATAATAGTTCACTATAATATACCAATTGCCAACAAAACCAAAGATTAGATAGATAGTTCATGTATAAAATAGCAAATGATTATGTTTTTTGAAACTAAACAAGACACTTAAAGAGTTTTCAAGAAATAAAAATGATAGCATTCTGAGGCATAACGGGCCTAGTAAGTATGTGTGTTTTTTCTGTTTTTTTTTTTCTCCAATGAAAATATCTGAATACTTGAATTTTCTTAGCGTAATATTACTGCAACGTAAGTCCAACGTAAGGAATCTCCTTCTGTTAAGTACATAATTATTCAAAATTCAAAAAGTCGGAAAAAAGATAGGAAGATAATGTTTTGTGTATTTTAAGTAAAAAAAATCAAAACTGATTTATCTTTGATATAGGTTAGCATATGATTTTAGGTAGCGCATTAGTGTAATGAAAGTTTATAAATTCCATTTTCCTGTAATTGTAAAATGTTGACTTTGATCTCATTCGGCGGAAATGCTGCGAGGAGAATCTCTAGTGATGTCGCACGTTGAAAATTGTGACACTGTGCGTTTTTTTTCTGATAGGATTAAGTGATGATAAAACGAAGTGATATTCCGTTTATTTGCATGACACATTTTGATTAAAATAATCAAGTCATCTACAAAACAGAGACCATTGAATCGTTTGAAGGTGGTTGGTCGATTAATTAAAATTAGAACCTGATCTTTGCCTAGCTAACTTTGTGAATTGGGTTAGTCCTACTGACCATTCCGACCTGTTTATTTTTAGTTAAAGGGAATATAAAGTCAAATTGCAAATGAATAAAGGAGAGTAAAAAAGAACAACCTATAGCAAAGTATTTTGTAATCAATTTCAGATCTAGACCAGCATTTCTTGTCGCCATTTATGTCCAAATATAGTCATTTAAAACAATTATAGTGTAGAAGGAACCCACGCACGTCCACGCCACGAAAAAAGTATACCCAGTTATTATAAGCTTTTGCCAAACCATATTGATCATTTATAAAAAAACGGAAACATATTCGCAGAGCTAAATCACCAATGACCGGGCAATAACCTTAGAAATACCTGCTATATATATGTACACTATTGTTAATTAACTTTGTTTAAAAGTTAAAACACAAGAATACACTTAGTTATTTCCTTTACATTAATAAATTGACTTACTTTCTCCTTTATATCATTAAATTGGGTAATTAAGTATCAGCCTGATTAAATTCACTCGAGGTCATTAACTTTATCAACTAATGGCTGGCATTTTAGTTACTGTCTAACAAATAGCTTTTACGTAATAAGTTCATGTCAATACCAATAACATTTCCTTCGCCTGTTCCATCTGGAAACCCGTTGCTGTCTTACATCTAGACAGTAATATCAAAAGTAAAACTTTGTCTTACATCCCGTCAGCAATATAATATAAAAACTAAGCCTTTATATGCCATCTAGTCTGCAATATCGAATGTAAACATTTGGCTGACAATCAGTCTGCAGTATCAAATGTAAACACTTGGCTGACATCCAGTCTGCAATATCAAATGTAAACCTTAATCTGACATCAAGTCTGCAATATCTTATATAAACCATTGGCTGACGTTCAGTCTGCAATATCAAATGTAACCTTTGGCTGACATCCAGTCTGCAATATCAAATGTAACCTTTGGCTGACATCCAGTCTGCAATATCTAATGTAAACCTTAATCTGACATCCAGTCTGCAATATCTAATGTAAACCTTAATCTGACATCCAGTCTGCAATATCAAATGTAACCTTTGGCAACATATTAATATTGTAAGCCGCCCACTTCCTCGACCATTGCGCTTAGCGTCAAAGGTATATCTCAACACACGCGTATGTAATCATAAACCGTAATTTTCATACTTGGCCTTCTGTTGCACACTCAACATATTTCACACTTTTAAGAAAGTATAGATTATTGAGAAACGTTTTAAGCCTGTGCATGTTCATTTATATAACAGGCGGTTTACATGCAACAATGAAAACAAAAGCAAAAATCAGTAAAAACGAAAAAATATCTTTTTTATTGATCTGACTTCATGTTTTAATTTGCGTCATTTGGTGAATATACTGTATTTGTACTATACAAATTTATCATAGAATATTATATAATAATTTCCTTTCGCAACTGGATAAAGGAATATAAAACCTGTTTACATGTACGTCAAACAACAATAAAATATTTCATATTGCGAGCAGACAGGTCATTGAATACTATTCCCGGTGGCTACAGCTTATCTAACGCCACTTATATAATTTCAATAGAACATATCGTTATTTTATCATGTATATTATGTTTCAAGTTTCAAGTTTTATTTACATATGTCAAACTAGCCTAGGCATGATAACCAGGGAATAGGTTTTTTGTTCTTCAAAATAATGACAGATAAACATATTTATTCAATAAATGAATCAAAACAAGTATCCATTCTTTATAGAATATAAACAGTCACAAAAAAGACTGATGGTTATGATATTTAATGCAGTCATTACGAACAAATTGTCCAAAATAAATATAAACATATAAAGTTTACAGTCATGCGCAAAAGTGAAATATGAATTCATCACACAGTATGGTCAAAAAATAATGTAAATATTAGCCAAGCGAGGCAAAATATAACTTTAATGTAGTACGTTAGGTCAAAGAAGAGTACAACAACTGGATTTATTGCATACAAAGAGTCTTATCTTTATCTCTGAATAAATGTAGCAAATAAAAAAGTACACATAACAAGATATTTCAGAATTCTATTTATTTCAAGACCTATGTGCTTTCTAATTTTCCATTGTCTACCATTAACTTAACAGCGTGAGATCAGTGTCTTCTTCTTATAAAGAACTTAGCAAATGGTCCTTTCATCTGAAAAATAGAGAAGTTCATTTATGAACAAAAGTAAATGGTATTGAACACCATGAGGTTGGTATCGTTTGTTCACATTTCCTCAAGTAATTTTAACCGACTAGAGAAAATGTTTTTGCATTTGCATTATTAGTATCAAATTATATTAAGGTAATGTACTTAAAATCACATCACGTGTATAAACGCATACTCTCGCTGTCTTTTATGTCTTTTATAAATAAAATAAACATTAATGTTTTCCACATGAGATGCAATGGTAGTAATAGAGAGATTCAGTTAATGACGTATTATATATACTGCTTATTTTATTGAGCAAGATATATTATTCACCTGCGTTGCGGTGTAAAAAGATACCCGAGAGGAAGTCTGCTTTCTTTTTTTCATAATATGGGCTGTTAAAAAAGCTGAGTTATAGGTTTCTATTTTAGATCAATATATATATGCTAGTGGCGCGGTGACCAGTGGCGAACCTGTAAAGCCGCCGAACGTGCTGACGGCAGGATAACTATATAATTATTTACTCTATTTTATTTGCAGCAAGTTCGATACCCTATCGACCAGCTGCTAAACAAATAAACACTGCTGTAGTCTTGTTGATAGAATGTCAATGAAGATACTCTTATTGATAAATACAACAATTATACAAATATTACTACTTCCGGAAGTAATGTAAACAATTATGTCACTCACAAAAGGAGATAATGAGAAATCCATTTTGGTGAAAATATTTTATTTTTAAACCTTTTGTTTTGCTTTTAAACAAGATCACTCGGGTGATGATTTATTGTTGTTTCAACTATCCCTACATTGATTGATAAAGTATTAATCAATTACAATAGTCAATACAAATTACCAACTTTAAACAGTTTTCTGTATAAAGCTATAGATTTACTTTCTGTTGAATGTTAATTTATTGATTATGTTGTGATTAAAGTAATTACAGAATACATAAAATGAAAGAAATATGTGAATATTTTTTTATTAAAAGCGATTGGGACATGCTTGTAATCATCGCCACACATACTAAAACTGGCAGTGGATTAGTTTGGCCCGGAACATTTGACTCTGTTTACGTATATTTATTTACATAGATACTCTTCGTTACAAATATTTCAAGAAACGACCATACTGTTATGAAAACAGCAATATTTTACTGTTAATCTTTATAACATACATGTATTTTATCAGATAGAGCTAAAAAAACCGAGTCTGCAATTTTCATGTAATTTTCCTGTTTTTTAATACTTTCGAGGTATCACTTTTTCCAGATATTTATATATCACAACAGTAGGTGTCAAGTGTTGTGTGGCAGCCGTAGAAATGTGCCCCGTACTCCACTTCAGTGTTGTTATATTTTTCTGGTCATTCGGGATCATTGAGTCCAGCACTTTTAAGTGTTGAAAATTGAGTACCGCTTAAGCCGATTCTAGGGGGCGTGAAGGATGTTGCTTTTTTCATTACCCCTCGTGTTCAGACTCAATAAAACCGAGTCATGTAATTTTCTTGTTTTTAATGCTTCCGAGGTATCACTTTTTCCCAGATATTTTCACTTATATACATGTAATGATTACAAGCACGCCTGCAATCGCATTTATTGTTGTTATTTTGGGAAAAGAAACAAGAACATATTTTAATTTTAATGTAAAATCATGTTTGGACAAGATGTAACGTACTCGAATTGTTTACGCATTGTGTTATATAGCAAAGGTAACTGTATAAATCTTTGACTCATATAAACCGTCGGCGTCATCTTAACAACAAAGGAAACTGATATTTTATTGGTTTGTTGTGTATTCATCTTTGTGTTCACTAAAAAAGTTATATATGACACTTTTTTCTATATAATACAATGCATTTAATCAGTTTTTGTACGAACTCAATTAATGAGAAAACGCCTGTCATTCGAACAAATATCGTTTCTAATTACAAATTAACAAATATTCGAAAAAAATATCAACGTGTGTCTCTGTTATTTTACACAAGGTCGTTTTGATTATTTATAGCATACACTGATAACCAATTAAATATTTGCGGCAGATGTTTATTTATAAAGAGAACATAAGCAAGTAATTTTTATCTTTTTAAATGTGTACTTTAGTTGTCATCACGACAACAACATGTATACAGTAAGCTAAGACTTACAAGAATAAATTATAGAAAATGATTCAGAAAATGAATAATACCAAATTACATAAAATGGAAGAACCTTTACATTAATCATACAAAGAATTGAACTGTATAAATAAAAGTAACTTAACGGTCCTCCGTGACCAAGCCGCTAATTTTCAATCACTTCTTTGTCATCGCTATCGGTTCGAAACCCACAAGGGGACATTGTATCTGTAATTTTAAGAACCTATCCAATCAGCGGACAAATTGATGAATCAAGTCACGTGACTAGTAGCACCTGGAATAATTATTGCACCTGAGCTGCTTTCCCTCCACTAGTACAGTTAAACTGTCGCCTAATGAAGTAACATTGTCTGTGCACGTTTACCCAGTCACAAATAATGTTGTATTTTAGTTTTATTCTGAACGATTTACTGTGTAAAACAGTGTAGACAGATTTATATTGTACAACATGATAACTCCTCACCAAGTCACCTAGTTTTCAGGAATAAATTTATATATACATTAGTACCTGTTAATAATACTAAAATTCTACTTCTAAAGAATGATTTTCTTTGGGAGCTTGCGCTGAAATTGCTATGTATATTCATGTAACTACAACAAAACATTGCATAATAACAATGTTGCTTTAAAAACCTTTCATATATCATTCGTTCTAATTAAAATGTATTGGTGAAAAAATTACATTATTACATTGGAAAATATAGCGGTTGAAAGTATTGATATGTATTAAGAAATGTAAAAAGTATTCCAAATGTGCTGTTCACAAAGAAAAATACTTAAAATACTAATGGATAAGACTTTCCGAGATGATTTTTGTTCCTAAATACTTCAATGGCATCGAAGTATAATGTAAGTTTACGTTTGTTGTCTTTGTTCTTGGGAATATGCGGGAGAAAAAGGACCACATAACACGGATATTCAAACCATTTTATCGCCTTCCAACTTATGTTCCTTTTATTTCTTACAACAAGCATAATTATCCAACTGATACTTTACTTTTTTTCAGTGTTGTTATATTTTTTCTGGTCCTTCGGGATCATTGATGCCAGCACTATTACGTGTTGAGAATTAAGTACCGCTCAAGCCGGTGCTAGGGGGCGTGAGGGATGTTGCACGTATTCATTATCCCTCATGTACAGACTCAATCAAACCGAGTCTGCAGTTCTCTTGTAATTTTGTTGTGATTAATGCTTCCAAGGGATCACTTTGTTTCCAGATTTTTATACATTCTATTAAATGACTTTATTAAAACAAGAGAAATTGTTGTATATTTTAGGGGATACATCCAAATGCCACGTTGATATCAGACGGTACAAGCAGACATGACATGAAACAAGGAGATCTCAATGATTGTTGGTTCTTGTCAACTTTATCCGCTATAGCTGAAAAACCACAACTTATTGCCAAGGTAACCATTTATAGTTTCATGATAAATAGATACAAGAGGTTTTCGAAATAATGAAGGTTGTCTGAGGTATGAGAGCATTACTATTTTGTACGAATGTTACAATAACTAACACCAAACACTAAATTCCATTTTTAAATGAAAAGTGTGCTATATTGCAAACTATGTTTAAGTAAATCAGTCAAAATATACATTCAGCTCAACCTGGATATACACGATACGGTACTGACATTTAGTTATACAGCAGCTTACTTTTCACTAACAGACAAGAGTCATCATATCACATAAATAACTAGACACGGTTGTTCTGGTTGACTTATTTAGCATTAATAACTATTGTAATCAGTATACCAGTTTCAGTTTGTTCGCAATCAGCAGATTATTTGCCTTTGACCATTTACAAATATCATATACACTGTTCAAAAGTTCAATATCCTTTTCAGTTAACGCATATTCAGTATTATCATTTATGAAAATAATGAAAATGAAAATAAAGGTCACAATGGTTCTCTTGTTTTAAACCAATTGTTGCATTGTTGCATTAAAAAAACAGATATTTTTATATTACTTGAAGATATTGCACAGGCTTTAACATTAGAATATGTAATTTAATCATATTTGCTATTTTACTGCTAATTCCTGATTTTATTACTTGATAAAGCATGCCTGTTCACAGTACTAAAGGCTCTATGATAATCTATACTTTGACCTTTTTGAAAAAAAAACGCTTTCTGAATACTTGCATGTAATAGAGAAAAAAGCATCTGATGTAGAGCGTTCATCCCTAAATCAATATGCAGAATCATTAACATCATGTACATGTTCTTGTTAACATCAGCTATAAATACGATTTCTTAAGATGAAAATATTTTTCCTATAGTTTAACAACACTCTTCAAAAATGATTATTGAAGCAAAAGTGTTAGGATGTGATAAATGTGATCTTGTGAGCACGATTTATGATTAATCGAAGTAATAGAAAGAACAAACGTTGAACTTTGTTTCAAGACTGCAATTACAAGAATGATAGGAATATTTTTGTTATATTCGCTAATACAATAATGTTAATTGTGTTTTTTTTCCTGCTTGAATTTTCATGTACTTTCTTTATTTGAAATAGTAATTTTGTGTGTTTTTTCTTAACATAAAAGTATATCATGCATCAAACCAATGCTATATTCCGAAGGAAGCGTTAAGTTGACAAGATTACTATTGCTCTAGCTCACCTCGACGCTTATATAATTTTTATCAGTTACTGCAAGTAATGAAATGTACCGACTTTAACCGAAATAATCTTCCAGATAATACCAGACGACTACAGTATCGGGTGTAAAGATTATAACGGGAAGTTCCACTGCAGGTTTTGGCAGTTTGGTGACTGGACTGACGTGTATATAGATGATTTACTGCCCACTGTTGGTAACCAACTACTTTTTGCCCACTCCTCCGCACCAGAAGAGTTCTGGATATCACTTGTGGAGAAGGCATATGCAAAGTAAGTTAATTAGACCATAGGCTTGAATAACACCACCCCCGCCCTTTGTATTTGTTAGAACAACGATTGTTGTCGAGTTTAACAGTATGGACATTAAACAATTCAAAATCTGAAAGCTGTCATATAACACAAGACTAATTGTGACTTTATTATACAGAAAATATTTTATCAAAACAATTGAGAAACATTCAGTGTTTAAATGGGAATTAATATTAAACATTAGTTTCTGCACTTCAATGTATTTCATCTCATATGTAATAAACATTTTCTATATACAAAATATACTAGTATTGTGTTTGCCTCTTTGAGACACAAAGGTGGAGTGATACCATTTCAAATCAACAATAACTTAAATTTTAAAATACATTAAAGATTGAACTTTGTTATGACAATTATTAAGGTATATCAGAAAAGACCATTGGGCAAACAAAAACCTGATTTAGATTATCATCACATAATTTAAAACATTTAAAATGAAAGACTTTTTAAATAGATAGAAATGATCGCTTTTGTTAACTGTGTAGTAGTAATGTTGAAAACGAATATCATTATCATTTTACTGAAAATATTGTATTAATTATTCCTTGGCAACTCTAAATAGATGTTATTTTCTTTTGTTAAGGAAAATTACTAGAACTATAAGAAATGTTGCTTTATTTATTGCGAGTGCTATTGCATTAAGGACAATATTGTTTGAAAATATAGCTGCTCTTTAGAAAAATAGTTATACGTGTCATTAGTTTCAGATATATCGGACATTTCATATGCACTTTTCGGTGTAATATTGATCACATAATTTTTTATGTATTGTTTATAAATATATAATTTTTATGTTGTTTCGGCCGACTTAATTATGATTGTAAATGGACAAAGGCATATTTCATTCCGATTTTGCAAAACTAAACTCGTAAGCCAGCAATCGAAGTAGTGCGGATATAGCGTTTATCTTTTTTATGAAGAAAACGTTTATTAATTGTTAAATAGAAAACGATGCCTTGAGCGATATAGATTATTGAAATACTTGGGGAAATCATTTTAATTGGTCTATGACAGTAAAATACGATATCAACTTCTCGTTTCTTCATTAATATGAAATATTTGTATCAATTCATTAGAAGACCTTATTAGATAGTCTTTGATATAAATGACAGTATTACTGAAACATATCTATTGTTGAATGAAATATCTTTTAATATCATTGACAATGAAATATTGTAAAAGTAATGAAGTGTAATATTTTTGTAATCACAAGCAGAAGATGTATTTGATTTTTAGAAAATTTGAAGCAAACTGTATTAGTAACCTTTCTAATTTTACAGGTGTCATTATTCTTTCATTTAAGGCTGAATATAACTAAAAGCGTTAAGTCCATTACATCTTAAAGTTCGGCATAATTCAAAGTCAAAATCTTAAAGTCAAAATAACAACAATCAATTGTTTATGAAATCTTTGACATGCAAAACGATTTTGGTAGACGCATGATGTGAAAACTATGAAATATTTTGACTACAAGATAACTTATATCTTTACATAATAAATACAGTCATTCTTACTAGACAAAATTGATACATTAACTTGCTACAGAGATAATCTAGTGTTTGACATAAAAAAACAACGATAAAAGTCATAACTATCACCTATCTTTTTACTTGTTTGCTTTTCACGCCGAATTTAACACGAAGCCACAACTTGCTGGCTAAATAATAATGCATGAAACAGTGTATCTTGTTTCTTTTATGTTGAAGGTCACTTTGTCGTCATGTAACACATTTGGTCACTTTATCGACAAATTATACTACATTTGGTCACTTTATCGACAAATTATACATTTGGTCACTTTATCGACAAATTGTACATTTGGTCACTTTATCGTCATACAACATATTTGTAATATATAAAATAAAAAGAAAGACTCATACACATACACGGATGCCGGTTTATTATGTTAATTTTTCTGATTGTTCAGATCATTCATTATGTGTGTATGTCTTTGGTATAAGACATAAGATGATAAAATAAAACTTCTATTGGACCAGTATTACAACAGTTTGTTATGACTATATGATACTGCTACAGGCTTTAATAATAAACCATCATTTTACGAATATTCTTAAAGCCTTTTACTGGCGATTTATTTGAAATAAGTGACACTATAAGTCTTCAATGCTAGAAGGTGCTGCACTAGTTTATGGCGTAAAAGGTAGTGTCTAAATTATGACACAACAGATTTCTATTATCATTTTCATTGAATCGTAAGCTTGTTTGTTTTTTGTTCTAAAATATCAATAGATTGATTTGATAATGCGTTGTAGGAATGTATTTTTGTTAGGACACAATGTATAGTGAAGACGGTTGATAATCATAAATGTGTAGATGTGCAAAACATCTTGTCAGAAACGACATGTTTCACGCAAATAACACCTTATACTTAGAAAAAAAGTTTTTATAAAATGCACAAATTACAGATTTTATCCAGCAAAATGTTTCTCGTAACCATGGATGTAATTTATATCGCAATGGAGTTCATTTTTTTATCTTTTCTCGTTAACGATAAAACAATAATGAAATGTTTGAAGATCGTGATGCATCAAATTGAAAATCGATCTCCTGTCATATTTGAGAAAATAAGTATAAGCAGTTTATAGAAAATGTGGTTGTTGTCATGGCTGGTCAATAACAGACATTTCAACATCACGTCAAGTGCCACACGCGGAGTAAACTTGACATGGAAATGATCTCAGAGATTTATTATCATTGGCTTTATAAATATTTTCTCATTCAATATATAACCAGAACAGTCGTTTTAAACTGAATTGGTCTGTAATGGAAGGAATGTCATACAATAAATAATAACGTTGATAGTATTATGTATCAGGCAAAACATGAAACTACCAACATAATACATATAGACGTTGTTGGCATGATTCGATATTACGCAGATAGTTAATAAAATGCTCTAGAACAAAATATTATGATTCTTCATATAAATGTTCATACTCAACCACTTAAAACTTTATCAACATTTTTTTTCTCAAATAATATTTTATAGCAATATCCAAAAATGATATACTTCTATTGTGTTATCAATATTTGAATACATACAAATAATCTGCCCATTGTAGACCAATCTGCTATAAAGTTTGTGGTTTAAATCAACACTTCATTTGTGCTGAAACCAGAGAGGGATATTTATATTTATATTGATACATTTGAAATAAATGATAAAGATACCTATTCTACAGTAAAAGACCAAGTGCTTACTTTGAAATAATTGAAACTAACCCCCCCCCTTAATACCTCATGCTAGAACAATATATAAATACAAACAATTTCATTAACATATACTAGGGTTCCATATACTCTCACCCATGTCAAATAAACGTGTTTGGTCTTACAAAGAACTCCCAATAGTAAAGATCATTTTCAAACTATTTTTTCTAATCAATTATGTTTGAAAATAGTGTCATTGCGATAAAATGATAATTATTATCTTATCATTCTTATGCTATATGGAATTTATTCATACAGATTAAATGGGTCATATGAAGCTTTGGAGTACGGGTTTGAAGCGGATGCATTTACAGATCTAACAGGCGGTCTTGCTGAATGGTACAATCCTGTAGACCTTAAAGAAGAAGATTTTTACCTGGTCCGGGCCGCCTTCCAAAGTGGAGCAGTAATTGGATGTCTCAGCGTTGTAAGTATTTTAAACAAATTATCACAATTCCTAGTGCTGTTATGAACTTGACACCCCCACACCGAATTGTCAGACCTTTTGATTGGCCAAAATCAATTATCATCCATATATTCACGACCTCTGCATTTAATCTCAAAAGAAGATATTGTTGCAATGGCAACAAAAAGAAGATAAGCAAAATTAGTCAGTTGATGTTGCGAGGAAACGTCAACAGAACAAAAAGCCTTGCAAAATTTTAGGAAGATTTTTCTTAAACTAACACAAATCTACTTTTCATCTTTCTAAATCGTTTTGTCACTTTAAATAAATTCTAAAAAAAATAAAAATAGTTAAAAGCCGCATGGTGTTTTTTTTATTAAGTCTGTTCAACAACAGGCAAGGAAATTTGAAATATATCTTACGTCCCTAGAGGTATTCATTTTTTCTACACTAAATGTAGTTCAATCAATGAATCCAAAGTACAAGAAAAATATAACAGCACAGTGATGGTGTACGTGATTTTTTTTATATTCTACCACCCACTCACTTAACACAGAAAATTTATATGAGAAACTATGTTTTGTCGAGTCACTGTATGAAAGAAAATAAAAATCTAGCCTCATAGAACTTCGTAAGCAGTATTCTAATGTGACATTATGTTCATTCTTTCATTGTCATATTGAGCTGAATTCATCATGTTTTTCAAAAGATTGACTGTTTAAGGGAGATTGACCATTATTTGTTTGTTTGTTTGGGTTTTACGTCACATCGACACAGTATAGGTCATAATATTATGGCGACGTTCCAGCTCTAACTGGTGGGAGAAGACCTGCATTATTTCAGTCATGAACGGGCGCCCGAGTAGAACAAGTAGAACGAGTTGAACGTTACAAGTAAAGTCCGATTGATCTTTACAGAAATTCCTCCGGCCACACGAAGTATTCATTGTTTATAAAACTGAAAGGAATTATGACAAGATGTAAACTTTTTTGACTATCACCTGTGCTTTCACTATATACCTTTGGATGGACATAATGTCACTTAAATAATAAAACATTTGAATTAACATTACGATTGTTGGGATTGACATGCCAAATGGTAAAGAATTACCGGAAAGGTTTCATAAATTAACCATTTCGATACGACCATAAGAATTGTATTTGTTGCAGAAAGGATTGAATTGTGTTTACTAGTTTTTAATGTCACAAAGCAGCAAGACTTAATGAAAAAGACAACTTAGGAGCTGTTGATTTCTACTTTGTAATGCTTTACATCGGATCGATTAAGAAAATAACAGAGAAGTGGCAGAAACCCGTTTTTCATTGGCTGAATGCAAATGGTTTATTGCGTAACACATTGATTGCAATAAAAAATGACTTATTTTCAAGTGATTTATTTTCGTTTAGAATCCGGTCGATCGGAAGTAAAATCCGGTTTGACTCAATCATCTTTAAATTTGTTTTGTCTTAATTGTATTTCTTACTGATTAATTACTTTGTCTGAAAACTGTGTTCGTCAATCATAAGTAAAGTAATACGAGTTCATCTATGCCCGATTTTACTGTGAATGTTTTATATTTAAATAGCTAAAGTTTGATATTTTACTTAATGTTCATTTCAACTATATTTTTGAGACACCTGTTGATGAGCGACTTGACCAAATGCTGTTTTATTTGGACCTTTTCTTGTGATCATAGGTTGTTCTTGAAAAAGAAATGTGTGGACAAATAACAGTTAAGTGTAAATGAACAAAATGTTGATAATTATTACTGTAAAAATTATCCAAGTGTTGTTGTTTTGTTTTGTGTATTTATACCATATTTGTAAGGATGGTCTATGTCTTAAGAATTTATTTATTGGTAATATCATGAAATATCGAGATATGTTGATATATTGTGCCATTAAGTGTTACTATACATAATTAATAATTTCTTACTGCCTAAATATATTATGAAACTAAATGATACGTGTTTGATCCATTCCAATATATAATATGCTTATGTGCCGGATACTGCGAGTGTATTCTGATAAAAAAGAAGAAAAAAAAACACTCATGAAACTCATGTATAGCAGAGAACAAAATTAATATGAAGGATAAAAATGCGAAGAATAAATCGATTTACATATATATCTTTTATTAAGTAGTAAGCCATTAATGGCCCATGTACATGCAGCAATATAACATTCAATGTTGACAACAAAATGTAATTATATAGGTGTTAACAATATTGTACTGGATATACATGTAGGTAATCATATATCAATGACAGATTTATTTCTACATTTCCTTTCTATACTAGCATACATATAGGGAGAGACAAAGCATCTATTTATAGAAAACATGTAAACATAGTTAGTATAATATTATAACCACATGTGTGCATTTCTTTTTTAACATATAACTAAATTGTTGTTAGCAGCAATGTTCTTTTTTTTCAAATGCATAGTAAATATAAGCTGCAAACATCTTTATGTCGACTACATTTGTGGTATTAATCAACTCTACAAATTTAATATAATTTGGATGAACCCAGTATACTGACGTCTGAGATCAGCGTAAAGTGTACACTCAATAATGAAATGAAATTCATCCTCTAGTACATTGCAAAATTTACATTTTCTTTGTTCAATTGGTGTGCTTATAAGTTTTCTCCATCTACCTGTAAATAACCGTTGCAGTGTAAACACATTTTCCACCAATCTATTTTCAATTATCGGTGATTGCAGGATGCTTGCGTCTCTACTTGACGAGACACCGTGGAATGCAATTTTACACTACCGTCATTGCATTGTTTGCAATAGTTCTATATTAAATTGTCATGTCGGAGACATGTTAGTTTTCCATAGTTTTATGACTTTTAAAATATGACAGGATTTTATTATAATATCATTACACTTCATTCAGCGTCAAGCTGATAATTAATACAATGCACTCAATAAGCATCACTTCAAAAGTAACTAAAATGTTACTGTTCTTTCTTTTAAATTGTAAAGTTTAAAGTCTGCAAATATACTTTTGAAATAAAAATAAATGTTTAATTCTGATGCAAAGTTTCAAATCCTTATTGTCATTACAAATGCGTTTTTCACGAACATGGACATAAGAAGTTTATAGAATACAAAAATGCTCTTGTTATTTAATCAACAATAACTCAATAAAGGTTCATTCCTCTGAATATATACATGTACTTTAGGTTAATGACTGTATTAATGTGTAGCTTTTGTAAGCAATTCCTTTAACGTATCGACGTTCTGTCCATATTACTTTCTTTGATCATTTTCCGGAAAAGGTCATTCAAAAACACATACGCAAGACTCCTGGAATACGTCATTATTTAATGAGGTTTCGTTGTAATGTACCCTGCTCCAATAGCATTTTATTAGGTAAAGATGTCCGTTTAATTCGCACCAACCATTGTTGAATTGGCCTTGCAAGAATAGGGTCACATACCATATCTTACATTTAGTTACAATGGTATTAAGTGAAATTATTTTTATCGTTCCCCTTTTAAAACCTTTAATGATGCAATTTAAGTCAGCAACAGATAAAAATGGTTGAGTATGATGCAAATGAAAATCAATACCCTATTTGGAATGAATCTCTCTTTATACATTTTGCTATCTTTGTAGGTTCTGTGCTACTCTTTTCTGTTATTTAACATCTTAGATGCTCTAAATCTATTATTTAAAAATTGTTTAATTCATGCCATCCCCTTGAAAAAGATGTATTCATTTAAGAGGTAAACTGTGTCTCTAACAACGCCCTCGCGTAAATTTAACATACGCAAATTGATGTTGTGAAAATAATCGATTTACTTAATGATTAATAGATTGAAAATTTACAAAAAGTAAATGTGCTTCTATTCATAAACAATTTCAAACACTAAATGTTGTAAACATTTGTCTCAGAATTGTTGTCTTAATTTCAGGATAAGGAAGGTCAGGCATTACGTGAAAGAAGGGGAATGGTATCTAATCATTCTTATGTTATAACTGGTGTAGAAGAAGTGCAGTATCTAGACGGCACAGCCAAACTTATTCGTGTTCGAAACCCATGGGGTGATACTGAGTGGGAAGGTGCCTGGAGTGACGGGTAAAATATATTGTTCTTTTTTTTCACCTCGTAGATTTATATATACATTTACTACATTTACTAACAAACCTTATAAACAACCTTTTAATCGGGGAAAACTGTAAAACAACTGTAGCTTACATTGAAGAAACATGCATTTTATCAACATGCTTTCGTATTAAATTTTTAAATTATTTACAAAAAAAGGTTCAATCTTAAATTTACTGTAAAGGGTTTAGTGTTTTTATGCCATTCATATGATATTTAAAAAAAACTGGTAAAGTATATTCTTTGAGTGATTTGGTTAGATTATATTCTAATAGTCGTCATGTTTTCTGGCATTTAAGTCATTCCAAGAAATTTTATTTTGTGATTAAAGCTATTGGAACTATTTTTCAGCTCCGATGAATGGAGCCACGTGCCAAATGATATCAAAATAGAGCTGGAACTGACGTCACAAGATGACGGCGAATTTTGGATGTGTTACCGAGATTTTAGGCGGGAATATTGCAACATGATTATATGTAATTTATCGCCTGACTTTGATCATGACGGCGTCAGTGATAAAGCCGGTAATATATTTGAAATTATGTTATCAACCTGATTAATTAGACAAATGGTGGCATATCTTGTAATTTATATTGAATCCGGATAGAAAGTATTGTACTATTATTACAATTTATATATTTAAGAAGGAATACACATGCTTGTTCAAAATAAATACAAGTTGTATAATGTGGTATATAAACTAGGATGAGTATCAGGGATCCATAATCGAATCGCAAAA